GACCCGCTGGTGAGTTGCGGGCGCCGGGGCACGAGCCCGGGGGAGCCCCCCATCGCCATCGCTATCCCCATCCCCATCCCTGCTGTCGGGGGGGCTGGGCCCGATCCTGCCCGGCCGGCGGAGCGTGGAGGCAGCGGGTGCGGTGCTGCGCTGGGGGGTCAGTGAGGGGCCTGGGGTGATCGACATGGCCCGACTGGGAGGGAGGGGGCAGGCATCCCCGGCACAGAGGAAGTTGTCCTTCCTCCTGGAGCGCCACGTCCCGTAAGGGCCATGCGGGAGGCCTGGCCCGAGGGGGTGGCAGGGCAGAGGCCAGCAGGGCAGAGGCTGGGCCTGGGTGAAGGGCCTGTGGGCCACTGTGGTGCAAGTGGCCATATGGGCACACCCTTTTGCAGCCTGATCCGGGCCCAGGGGAGGAGCTGGCAGGATTGGACCAGCCCCCCCACCACTTTGCCTTTTCACGTGCCTGATGTCTGTCTCAGTGTGCAGACGGGCTCACATTCCCCAGGTCTTCTGCCGCACGTTTGCCCCACCGATCTCCAAGAGCTTTCCAGAGGAGAGCGCTATCCTCTCCCCTAACTTGCAGGCAGGGAAGCAAAGGCAGAGAGTGGTGAGGTGACTTGCCCAAGGTCACCCAGCAGGCCAGTGGCAGAGCCGGGACTGGAGCCCAGTCTCCTGGTCCTAGCTCCCTGCTCAGTCTGCACAGCCATATTGCTTCACCTGAGCTCAAGTTACAGATCTTCAACCTCTGGGATTGATTCCAGTTGCTACACCCGGGGTGGGGGTGTAGGAGAGGGGGGTTCTGCCATGTTCTTGGGGTGGGTGGGAGCAAAGTAAACTGAAATGCTGAAGTTGGGCCAGCTGGTGTTGGACTGTGCTGAGTATGGTGTCCTGTGGAGAGCAGGTTGGTCACCCAGTGCTGGCAGCTTTTGTCTGCTTAATTGCTCTGAAAGAAACTGCATATATGTTAGATACTTCCCCTGTGTAAGCCTTCCACGTAAGTATGTGGCTGCAATGGGGTGTTATGCAACCACTGATGGGAGAGGGAGAAAGGGAGGAGGTCTGCAGTCACAGAGGAGATGTATCCAGAGAAGTCCCGTAATGAAAACCCAGGTGAAGTCTGCAGCATTCCTGACAGTGGTTGGGCAGCCTGTGTGCTGTGACTGCTGCTCACTGTGCTCACCTCACTGCTATCCTGTACTCACAGCAGCAAAGGTAAACAGGGGCATAAACACTTCCAGGATTGGGACCTTAAGGTTCCCTTGAAATCTGATCACGTAAGAAATCAACTATAGTTTCCAATATGACTTTGCTCTGGAGGGCCCCTGCCAATTTCGGTTTGCAAACATATTTTCCTTTCGTCCTGTTTTAACTTAATTTTTAAAAATCTTTCCTACAAATTAAAAAGACTAGCTGTAGAGGGGGAAATATCAAGAAAAGTGTTCTTTTTCTTCATCTCTCAGTGGCAGCCTATGAACAGCTAATGCAGAGCTGATGTCCCTTTAAGCCCCTGGTCACTCCTGAAGACTTTTATTTTATTACATATGAATGTAGTGTCTGTGAGAGGTGCCAAGCTGACAGCACTGGAGGAGACTGAAGCCTTCTTGGTCTGCAGAATATGTGAGGTCTGAGCATCATGAGCTCAAATATCTTCACTGCACACCTGACCTGTGTAAAAGTTCTGACCCGGGGTAGTTCAGTCCTCCGCTTGCTGAAATTGTCTGCAAAGGGTTTAAATATATCGGTCTACATGACCCAGCAGCTAATAATCAAACAGCTACTAGTTAGTGATACCTTAGAAAATAATGACCTAGTTTTCGTATTGTCTGTTGGCCTTTTGGGATTGGTACTTCAGTAGCCACCATTGCTGAGTGCCTCACAATCCCTGTTGTTTTTAGGGAGGTTCTGTTATCCCCATTTTACAGATGGGGCACTCAGGTATAGAGATGCAAAGTGATTTTGCCCAATGTTATACAGGAAATCTGTGGCAAAGTAAGCACTTGAGCCTTTTGTCCTTAGGCCTAGGTTAGTGGCCTAACATGGAGCACTTCCTCCTTCAACGTAAAAGGGCCATGTCTCTGGCTTTTTAAAAGGTCCAACTGAGCTAAATGCTTCTCAACATTTCACATGTGGCCTTATGGAATTGGTCAACAAAGTTAGGCCCCTCAACTTTGAATTCACCCCCGTGTTCCCACAAAATTGGTTAATGCCTAGATTGTGCAGATGGCTTGCCTGCGTTAGGAAACTTGGCCAAAGCTTTCTGAAAAGCACTGTGAGCAAAGTCAGTGCCTGGAGCTGTCTACAGAATTTGCTTCAACTGCTGCTTCAAACACAAACATGCCTTTTTTTTTTTTAAGTGAGGAACAAGAAGAGCTGCATTACCAGGATACAGACTCTGATGTGCCAGAGCAGCGGGAAAACAGGTGCAAAGTCAAGTGGACCCACGAAGAGGTAGGTGGTGGCACAGCACCTGCTGCAAAGGGGTATGTCTCTAAGTGGATGGGTGTATTGTGGCTGTGGGGAGATGAATCAAGAAGAAAGCATCATCTGTAAGGGACCTCAGTGACTTCCTGGATAGGTAACCCGTGGATCAAACTGTTTTAATCAGACACCGGGAGGGGGGTGGAGTTTGTTAATGTTACTAGTGTTTTCCCAAGCAAATTTTGGTCCTTTTGCATCCACTTGACTTTGGGAATGCACCACACAGAGCCTTCCCCTTCACTCTAAAGCGTCCGGCTTGGTTCGTTGTTGCAAGTAGATGGACTGATACCCATGACACCATGGTAACAATTTCTTTACCTGTAGGCTAGTGTTTCCCAAACTTTTCCTCAGCATGACCCCATTTATGACCCCTTTTCCTCAGCATGGTCCCTCACTCCCACCCCCCAGGTGCCCCTCAGTCCCAACCTGCAGCCCCCTGGCCCTGCCAGTGCCTCTCCCTCCCAACCTGCAGCCCCCCACTGCTCCCAGGAGTCCCAGAGCCAAGGCCTGCAGTCCCCACCCCTCCCAGCAGCACTTAAGCCCCAGCTGCTGTCCGCAGGAGGCCCAGCAGGCAGGAGTGCTGCACCGCCATGGCTGGCAAGCTGAGGCACCCCTTCCCACCCAGCAGCATTGGGGCACAGCTCTGCACCGCTGCACTTTACCGTGGTGCTTCCTCCTGTGCTGGGTCCTGCCTGTTGGGCTGTGACCCCAGCTGCTAATGTTGCAACCCCATTTGGGGTCACAACTCACAGTTTGGGAACTGCTGTCTTAGGCTAATGACACTAGTCCTTACAAATGAGAGAAGCTTCACTCAGCTGCATTGTCTTTACTCTGAAAAAAAAATCTTTGTCTCTAAGTTGCTGATATGAGACAATATCCTAGTGAAGGCAGGTCAATTGGTAGTTTTCACAAGAGTGAACAGGTTGAGTTCAGGAATAGGTTTCCTCATTTTTAGTTCCTGTGAGAACTACAGATGCCTTTATCTTCACTAAGGTTTCATATTGAGATAACACATTTTCAAAAGTGAGAGCAAGGCCTCAAACTCCCCTGGGTGAGAGAGCTGTTTCCTACCTCTCTTCTCACTGCCAGAAGAACTGAGTTATTGACCTCACTTGTGGCCTAGGGAAGTTGTGGAGTCTCCTTCAGTAAATCTTTGCAAGAAGAGGCTGGACAGGCACTCGTCTGGGAAGGTTTAGGAATAACTGATCCTGCATCTATGCAGGGGGTTGGATTAGATGACTGCCAAGGTCCCTTCCAGCCCCTGATGCTCTTAGCTCTTAGGTTAGGAATATACTGGTAGTAAACATGCTAATTAGAAAGCAGGTAGACCCTGTCCATACAGTTGGAACCAAACCACATTAGACCATAATTGACTTTAGAAGTGAATTTAAATACAGAGCTGAGCTCTTGTATTTAATGAGTTGCCTGGACCATTGTACTAAAGCTCTGGGCCAGACATCTCTATGTGCCAGGTTTGCAGTTGTGCTTACTGGATGATGCTAAGCAGCTTCAGTAGTATTTTGGTATTAAATGGTATAAACTTCCCAGCAGGGTGGAGGTTCAATTTTCTTTTCCCTTAGCTTACATACTTAGTTTGGGCATGACTTGCCCTCTTTGCAGCAGCATGATATGGCCCTCGTTCTTGTCTGCTTCTGTGAAAGCTGACAACTTTGTTCTTCACAGGATGAGCGGCTGAAGGCGCTAGTGAAACAGTTTGGACAGACTGACTGGAAGTTCCTGGCAAGTCATTTCCCTGTAAGTGGGGCATCTAGCAGCTCTCCTTTGTCCAGTATGGGATACTTGGCACTCTTACAGGACCTAGACCTCCTGCACCTGAAGTGCTTGGCAGACATGAACTAGCATCCTGTGCTTGTACAGACAGAAACTAACAACAACTCTTCCATCAAGCTTTGTGAGGCAGGCAAAGGGCTGTTCCTCATTTCAGCGGGGTTGGCTGTATAGTTTGTTTGAGGCCCCAGAAGGCCAAGTATGTTGGAGATGGGGCATGGGACAGGACTCCATGTTATCCTGATTAGTGCGTGAGATCACAACTGCCTGTTTTAATGCCAGTAATGGCAGCAGTGTGCATGTAAGCCTGAGGTTTCTTTTTTTTCCCCTGCAAACCTTACTCTGTCCTGTAGAGAGAGCTGTGCAGAGAGCAGTACCATGCTTGCCCCTGGAACTGGGTGTGTCTTTCTTTCTCTTTTGAAATGCTTGTTCCAAGCTGCTTCCCCTGGCCTCCTCCTCAGCCAAAGGCCACATGTGGCTCCGGATTGGTGAGAAGGGTCTATTAGAGCTGCCCAGAGCTAAGAAGAGAAGCTTGGGTTAGTGGCCATGTCCATGCAGTGGCTACCAGTAAGTGCCACCTCAGGCAGGAAGGGAAGGTGGTGGGCGTTTTCTAGATTTTGGAGCAAGCCAAGTTTTCTGCAAGATGAGCTGGAGGGAGAGGGGCTTTGGGCCCAAGCCACTTTCCTTTCTCTGCTGTTTTTCTGATTCATGCCTAGTCTGGCCCATCCCACCAGGCTAGGAAGAGTGCGTTTGCAGTATAACGGAACTAGGAGGGGGCCACGCGTATGGACACTGCTTGTGACTGCCTGCTGTAAACACAGCTTCAATCACCAAAGGGATGTGGGATATAGATAGCTCTGAGCTGTGTGGTATACGGAGCATGGGATACAGACAGTTTGGCTGAAGCACTGAGGAGAGACAGGGCCAGCTCTGAACAGCTACTTCTAGAGGAACTGAGCACATTTTGAGAGACTGTCTTTCCTCAGCCAGTTGATTGCAATTGCATTGCCTGATATCTCCCCCACTCCCAACGGCCAGAGACTGCGTGTTCAATGGACTAAAGGGGTGGCCAATGGTTTTAGAGACTGGAGTCCCTTACTTATCCACCTGATGAATATGGCAATGACAGAAGCTGCCCCTACGCATACATTTGCCAGTGTGCCTCAGGCTTACCATGTAGGGATCATGTCTAGGGATGAGAAAAGAGTTTTGGTTTCTGAGGCCCATTTGGTTCTTGGTGCATCTTTCTAGCTATCAGGGGGGTCAGCTGTGGATACATGCATTTTGGGGCTTAGCAAGGAATTTGCCTAACTTATTTTGCCTGTGCCAGTAAGTAGCAATCAGATAGTTGCCAGCTTTGGCTGCTACTTGCCTGACATGGCTTAAAGCCTCTGACTAAGTGGTGGCCAATTTCCCATCCCATCTTTTCTCAGCTCTTAGCACATTTTAAACAGTCAGTGTATTGTGGCAGGTTCTTCTCAGTTGCTGTTGTAGTTACTGTCAGTGGCCTCTGTTCTAATGCATGTATATTGTAACTCCGTCACAGAACCGCAGTGATCAGCAGTGCCAGTACCGGTGGCTGAGAGTGTTGAACCCAGACTTGGTGAAAGGGCCTTGGACCAAAGAGGAGGATCAGAAGGTAAGTAGCTGGCAGGCTGCACTGAGAGGGGAGGAGGGCTGGATGCTTCTTGTGGACAATGAGAGAGGTGCTGGGTTCAAGCCTGACATACTTTTCTTTGAAATGTGATGAGCTATGCCTGTTGTTGGGTTTGATTATGGCCCAGAAGAGCAGCATCAATAAACTTCTGTGCACTCGGCTAACTGCTCCCAAGCATCCTAACAAGTGCTGTAGATGCACAAGGCCCTGCTCTTCTGAAAGCCTGGCCTGCTCCCCATGCCATATTGCCACAGCGGAGACCATTGGGGCATGGATATGGAGGCCAGCGGGGAGACATGGTGAGAGGGGACTTACTGATCAGATGCTACCTCGTGTTAGGTTTTCTGTTTCCACCTCTTTCAATCTGTGCTTTCCTCTCCAGCCCCCTTGCTAACTCCCCGGAAGTGAGTGCCCACCTCATGTCTGACTATCACAGCTGCTACCTTGCCATCCCTTCCACCTTTTGCCTGTGCACTGTCTAGTAGGCATTGCAGAACTCTGCTGCCATGCGTCACATTCCAGCTAGGTTATAATTTCTTAAGGTAATAGTCTTTAATTGCGATAGGGCTCAGCATGTATATACTGGCACTGCAGTATAAACCTCCTCCATCTAAACCTTGGATGGAGGTTTAGATGCAGTGGATGTTGAAGAAATAGACCCTATATAGCAGGGGTGCACTAAGAGGATACAGGGATTTCCAGTGCCTCCCTGTGAAGGAGAAAGCTGGAGGAGGCTTGGAGCATGTGACAGCTTGTCACTACCTCAGAAGTGCGCACCTGATTTAAAATCCATCTCCCCTGTTAGTCACTAAAAGCCTTTTGCTTCATGGTGGGCATGATTGTTCACTCCCCTATACCTTGCATAGTCAGTACAGAATGGCACCAGTGTGCACCCTTTTAGCAGTGATGTAAATGATGATCTGTGGTGTGTAGTAATGGTACCCAAGGGCCTGGGTGTTTTATTCATGCAGACTCTCCTCTAAATTAAACATTTTTCACTGCATCCTCAGTAGGTTCCTGTAGAGTCACAGAGGATGAAAAGCAAAGCTGAAAACTGTTTCTTAATTCACTTCCCTTTGTTGTTCTTTGAAGGTAATTGAACTGGTAAAAAAGTATGGCACAAAGCAGTGGACACAGATAGCAAAGCACCTGAAAGGCAGGCTGGGGAAGCAGTGCCGGGAGCGCTGGCACAACCACCTGAACCCTGAGGTGAAGAAGTCCTCATGGACAGAGGATGAGGACCAGATCATCTTTGAGGCCCACAAAGTTCTGGGGAACCGCTGGGCTGAGATCGCCAAGCTGCTTCCTGGCAGGTAGGGCTTCTGCCTGATGCTAACACCTTATGGGTCTGGTGGGCTCTTGAGATATGCCCATTGAGGCTTCTGGCAGAAGGGTTAGAAATACATCAGCACTGTTGTTTGCACTCTTAACACTGGTGGCCTGATTGCTATAATTGTGGCTCTTCTTTCTTTCCAGAACTGATAATGCTGTGAAAAACCACTGGAACTCCACCATCAAGCGGAAAGTGGACATGGGAGGTTTCCTCAGTGATTCTAAAGAGTCCAAATCCTTATTCTTATTATTGGAGGTGGATGGCAAAGAGAGCCAAAGTCTCCAAAGAGCCAGAAACCAGGTATCACACCAAGTGAATCAGCTGACACATCGGATTTTGCTATGGAAGACTTTACAGCCCATTGTGAAGGGTGTGGGGGTAGCCATTACTGTTCTGTTAATCCACAACTGCACTTCCCACCAGCAGAAAAGTTCTGTGAGTGGGTGTACCCACTAGCCAGGAATCCTGACCCTCCATATTCCGATTCTTGTATAGGAAATGGAGTTGTGTAGTCTGCAGTTCTCTATGGATGGTCCATATAGAGGATATTAACCTCCTGTTGTTATCTGTTATTCTCTTACCTCATGTGTTAGAGGCCTGTGGGTGTGTATCTAAAGGTCCTGGTTTTAAACCCTTTTGATGATACATAGGGGTAGTATTGTACTATGCAACAGAATTTCTAGTTTCTTTTAAAGAAAAGAAAAATAGAAAAGTACTTATGAAAAAAAATCCAAGTGATTAGGCAACATTAAGGTTACAAATTTAAGCATCCAACAGTTAGGAGGTGCCAGAATTCATGCAGTTACCTTTTGTATCTGTCATAGCAGAGTCTGCAATTTACATGATTATGTTTTAACTGTCCTACAAAGATCCATGCATCATTTGGTGCTCAGGATGGACAGTGGCTGATACAGTGGGATGTAAAGTATGGGGATGCTCTCTTGGGGATGAGCAAAGGCTTGGGAAGTAGAACTGCTGGGTTATAGTCCTGCTTCTGCCACAGATGTCCTGTCCTGTTTGTATTGCCAAGACTCCACTGTAATGCATACGCATGAGTGGGCTGAAGGAAGATTGCATAGGGAATCTCAGAACTTGACTTTGCAGCCATAACCTAATTTTAATAGGTGGCTTTTGTGTTTTGCAGAAAAGCGTTCTAGCCAGCTGGCCTGCTGATGCTTTAGAAATAAAAGAGGAAGATGCCAGTGATGATGAAGCAACGGGCTTGCAGGAGTTGCCCTCGGAGCAGCCGGCTACAGAACTGGTGGAGGACAATGCTGAAGGGACCCTGGAGGATGTGGTGCCTGAAGACACCTCAGCAGATGGCACCTCTCCTTACAAGTGGGTGGTTGAAGCTGCAAATTTGTGCCCAACTTCGGGAGCTGCCTTCACAGAAGCTCTGGACATGATAGAATCCGTAAGAATTGGAGCAACGTTCGCATAACTCTGTCTTATAGTGTCATGACCTGTAAGTGATCCTGGCTGATGCATTCAGCGAGGCTCCTCAAGAAAAAGCTCCAGAACTGGGCTTTCTCTTTGACTTCATTGTTGCTTCCCACTGCTGGATTGGCACTGTGTACTTACTCCAAACAGTAGGAAAGACTCACCTGCTCCTCTGTGTGGGCTACCCAAAGGTTAGGTTCAGGCTCCGTGTTCTGAGCCAGCGTGTGGGGGTAGCTGCTTTTTGCCAGCATAGGCCCGTCTAGTACAGGACAGCCTGATCCTGGGTGGTGCACACAGAGCCACCAGAGGGGCTTTGAAATGCCTAGAAAAGGTGACATCCATCAGTTGGACTTGACCATATTATTGATGATTGTCTGAGATTTAAGTTTCTTTGCCAGGGGAAGAGGGAAGGAGGGGGCAGGTACATTCTGCAGCTCATTTTGGACATGGGGAAGGGACACTTAAGTTTGGAGTGCACTCCATTGGTACAGCTGTGTGGGGCCAGGACTGGCCCAGCAGAGAAGGAAGCTGGTCAGGAGAGAAGGCCTTTGGCAGAACTTTGTGCCAGAAGCTTGTGCTGAGTTTCTCCAGGCTTCCTGCGGAGTTTGGGTGTCTTATTCCCATGTAATTTAAGCAGATCTCTTGGGCATCTTTGAAAATCTGAGCCTCCATTTTCCTAGATACAGTGCTACGAAGTCTGTCACTATCATCAGCACTAAACACAGCTTCATGCTGAGGTTGATTAGGGATGTGATGGCTGGCTTTAAGGTTTAATAGTCTGTTTGCTTAGAGTTCAAGCTGATGGACTCTCTCTGCAGCTGTTTGCAAGGTCATGTCCTTGTTCCACAGCACCTTGGTCCTCTTCCTGGGCCTTTTCTGAGTGTTTCGCTTGTCTGGCAGGATCCAGATGGATGGTGTGACCTGACTCATTTTGACCTACCCGAAGATCCCTCTGGGGGCGGTAGCAGTAACAGCAACAGTCCAATTAGGCAAACTCCCAGCAAACCCCCCATATCTCTGTCCAATGTAACGGAGTATCGCCTGGATGGCCACACCATATCAGACCTGAGCAAAAGCAGCAAGGGTGAACTGATCCCTATTTCCCCACGCTCAGAGGTGAGCTTTGGGACCCCGCCCTGCATCTTCAAAAGGCAGAAGAAGAGGAAGATCTCCCTCTCGCCTGTCACAGAGAATGCCACCAGCACCAGCCTCTCCTTCATAGACTCCTGCAACAGCATGACACCCAAAAGCACCCCTGTCAAGGCACTGCCCTTCTCCCCATCCCAGGTATGTAGCTAGATGGGAACATGGTAGCTTGTTCTGTTGTCTTCTGCTTGGGGACACTTTCAGTGCATGAATTAGCAGGAGCAAATAGGTTTGCTCTGTTGCTTTACTTATTTGTGCTCATTCATGTTGCAGAGACTAACAAGCTCTGATGCTTAAGATTTATCTTGCTTCCTGCCTTGAAATAGGAATGGCCAGTACATAAGATGGCAGTGCAGTCACTGGAAAGTCTTGATGCAGTTTGTATAAGATGGGACTCAGAACTGGGATTTTTCTGTCCACTGGTCATTAGAGTTGCCATTGCAGTTTTCACAAGAAAACAGGCTGAGAGTATGTCTGTGTTGTGGGGATGCTTTCAGTTAAAGGGCAGGGATTAGTCTTCCTGGGTCAGGGGTACAACAAGTGTTGTAGGTAGATAATAACGTCCAGCTCTTATCCCCACTGTCAGAAAGCTGAACTGCCACCTGTGGGGACCATACTAAAGTATTGCTGGGGAGTGAGTGTTACCAGCACAACATCAATGTAGTGTAAGCAAAAGAATGTCCCATCAGCAGGTTCTCCTGGGGTACCAGCACAGAAAGGTGTTCTTTCGGTTTTAAGCTGTCAGTGCAAGTCACATAGCTACACTTGATAACAAAAGCATCAGACAGGCCAGGCCTTGTGTTGACAATGCAATGACTTGGATTACAGCTGCTCTAAGGGTAGTCCTTCCAGGGCTTCTCTTTACTGCAAGTGACCTCAGGCTCTTATGCTTCCCCCCCTGCCCCCACTCCCTTCCTTTCTAGTACCTTCCCACAATTCCCACTGGGCTGTATTTTTCCTACCGTCTTCCCACTTCCTGCTTTGACACCTCCCTTCACCTAATATGTATAACTTGGTTTAACATTTTATTTCCCCCATCTGCGTGTGCCTTGCTGTACCTAGTCTACTTCTAATACTGCTGCATTTTGAAGCACTTGATCTCAGAAACACCACCTCCTTCCTTTCTTCATGAGCATACTGTCAGCTGACTAAAGGCTGACCCTCTGTGAGGCCACCAAGAACCATGGCTTCAGGGCCAGGACCTGGAACTATGCTGTCCTGTAATGCAGTTGCCTGCCTTCACTTTGTAGCCTTAGGTTGTAAGCTGCTTGGGGCAGAGCCTGTCATTTGTTCAGTGTTTACATGGAGCATATCACACTTTTATTGCTGTAATGTGACAACTCCTGGTTCTTGGCTTTGGCTCTGGCTCCTCATTATTCTTTGAGCTGTGCAGCCTCAAAAGCAAGAGGATTGCTGCCCCAAACAGCTTGCAGTTCAGTACAAGACCAACAGCAGATAATTCTAGGCAGACGGAAGGAACACAGAGACTGAGACAGTTTGTTAGTGTGATGGCCTGTATTCTCATTGCTCAAGCTATTGTCAAGTGTTTTTTGTAAACATCCCAGCAATTAAGAAGAATTTGAAGGACTCCCCTGGGTGCTACTGGATTAGGACAAGTTGACCTTCCTGGCACACGCATGCATCTGGTGCCTGGCCTGTGTATAGGTGAGGAGCCAGTTCATCCTCTTGGCTGAAGTGGTTGAGGCCATGGATTTTAGTGAGAAATATCTCACAGCCTCTCCCTCTGTCCTGCAGTGGATTCACTGTACTCATTTCTGCGCAGCATCTTCTACCTAAGGATTTCAAAACACTTCAGCAGTGTGAGAGAGTGTTACCTCTTAGTCTTCTGTTCAGTAGTGCCCTTTTTTTGCAATTTTGGGAACTGGCACAGGTTTTCTGAGCTTCCAAACATCACATAGTGAATCTGTGTTAGAGCTAGGAATGGAAAACAAATCTCCTGACTTCCAATGTCTTCTTCCAACCAAAAAGCCAATCTTTTTCAATGAGTGTAACAAAAATAGCTTCCTTCTCTTCCCCCCTGCCCTCCCCCTCCAACCTTCCCAAGAAAGTTCCTGGTAGGCTGGTTGCGGGGTGAGATGTGGTTTTCACTGGCCTCATCTTCACTAAGAACAAAGAGGCTTTTCTCCTTCCTTTTTCTTTTTTCACTTGTGGTAGCTAACACAAGGTTATGGCTTAGTGTAGGGGTGGGCAGAATAGGGCCCACAGGCTGGATTCGACCCGTGGCTGCCCCTGTGGCACTCTGTGTGGGGCCGAGCGCTGCTTGGGGCAGCCTGTGCTGCACTCCAGCCCCAGTCTGAACCAGTGCATACCTGCCAGCCTTGGTCTGGGCCAGTGCGCACAGCATCCAGTGGGGCTGCTCCTGGTGCAGCTGCAGTTGCCTGGGTGCTGCTTAGCTCTTCTCGCCTCCAGCGGCAGCGCCTCGTGCTTCTGCCCCTGCTGTGTTGCTCTGGGTGGGAAGGAAACTTCAGCCGGGCAGCTCCTGCTCCAACATACAGGGCTCTGGCTCCAGCTCCAGCTGCCTTCCACCCACTGCCCAGGCAACTCTGCTGCATGCACCCCCTCCCTCTCCTCCTTCCCTTCACCTCTAGCTGGCTCCTGGGGCTTAGTACCCCATATACATGTGAACACATCCTGCCACAGGGCAGGGGCATGCAGGGAGCAGATCGTGACTCTGCCCCAGGCTCCAGCTCCATGCTGTCACTGCCCTGTGACCCTGCCCCATGTTCCTGGCCTCACCTGCCTGTCCCACTCCCAAACACCACTCCTAAACAGCGCTCCTCGCCTGCCCATGGCCAGGGGTGGTGCTGACTTGGTCCATCACAGCTCATCAAAACTGTCTATGTAGCCACCAGGCCCAAATAATTGCCCACCCCTGGCTTAGTGGGACTGAGGTAGCTGGTTAAGGTGAAGACTGGGAAACCTGAGGTTCTATCTAGATCTGCTAGTCTGTATCAAAGCTACAATTTGCTTCATTTAAAGTGGGACATTCTCTTTGGTTAGCAAATCCGTGTTAAGGATACACCTTTGTTTAGGTGTGCCCACTTCCATCTTGGCCATACATATATTGTACAGCTTTCAGTGTTGCTGTTCCCATAAAGAAAAGAATAAATTTTACTTGCATCTGTGCCAGGAGTTGCACCAGTATCTACACTATTACTATTACAGATTGCACCCTGAACCAATGTAGTTAGGCCAGTGCAATTTAAAAAAAAAATTTAATGGTGAGATTAACCTTGAGTTTCCAGCATGCTCAGCATCTTTTACCTTTCTTCATTTCCCTTGTTGGGCAGTTCTTAAACTTCTGGACCAAGCAGGACACACTGGAGTTGGAGAACCCATCCCTGACCTCCACACCCGTCTGTAGTCAGAAGGTGATTGTGACCACCCCGCTGCACAGGGACAAAACCCCCCTGCTCCAGAAGAACTCAGCGTAAGTCTTTTCTCCTCCTCCCAAACCCCATCTCATCACAGGGAGGTTGGATTTTTTGCAGTGTTATCCAGCAGCTGTGGCAACCCCAAGAATAGGAAGCGGGGTTGCCAGTATTGAGGTTTATCTTGTTGGATTCCCCCCTGGTGAATCTGTTTTACAAGAATGCTGGTGTGTTGTAATGTGTTTTGAAGGGTGAGTTGTATTCCCCATTGCTGGAATGAAGGTACTCAGATTTAAAACCGGTGAGTGCCTAGAATAGGTGAGGTCAGTCAGCAGTGGATGGGCCTGAAAAGCCAAAGTCTCACCTATGAGTTGTGAAATCTGCTCATGATGATAAAATGCCTCATCCCTCAGGCAGCTTCTGTTATGTCCACCTCCTGCTTGTAGTGTTCAAGAGGATGTGTGGCTGGAAGGCTCAGGCTGGAAAACTTCTTTGAATGTATTCTCCCCTTCATCTGTGAGTGGCAGGGTGAAGTATCCCCCTTGTTTGGAGAACAGCTCTGCTCTGGAAGAGGATGCCTCAGCAGAGGGCCAAGCCAAATCAGCAAGTCTGAATAGCCAGTGTCACTGCCTGCAGAACCTGCTCTACCCTTGCAGAACAGAGCTTTAGCTTCTGGGTGTGTTTGCCTGGAGAACACAGCTGCATTGGGAACTGGGAGGTTGCTCATCTCTGCTCCACTCTTTTACAAATGTGTCCCCTGCCTGACAGGCAGTTTGGGGCATCATGCTCCATTTTACTTGCATTCCTTAGCTCTGGGTGAGGTGAAACCTTTTCTATGGAAACAAATGCTTTGTATTCACAGTTGGAGCTGGGCGGGGGAGGGGTAGCAGCTGCTAGCGGGGCTAGTCCTATGCAGGAGCACAAGACACATACAGCTATCTAGTGTACCACAGCTACAAAGTGCTGTTGGCATAGATGCAGCTATCCTGGCACAGTGGTGCTTTTCCAGCATAGCTGGTCACAACCAGAGCCCTATCCCTGCAAAAGCATGATTTTGCTTGCATGACTGTGTGAGGGGCTTCTGCTGGCCCAGCATCTGGCAACTTCCTTACTCCCCAGAGCTCCAGTGTACCCCTGCCCTAAGGAGCTGTGGGTCACTTGCAGTCCTCAGGGATTGAGTGATGGAGATGCTACTTTAGGGCTGGCCATGTACAGCTGGAGCTGTTCATGTGTTGGCTCCAGCAACAGTGCCTACTTTTCCACTGCTTTGTCTGCCCTGCCTGAGCCCTTTCGGTACCCCCACCTGGCAGCAGGGCCTGCTGATTCTGATGTCAGAACCCAGCACCTGTGGAGCGTGTCCTCTGAGGAAGACTCAGAAGCATGGCTCTGGGGCTGCAGGGCACAGTGTGCTGCTGTTTATTTGAGGGAGGGAGAGTAGCTGGGATAAGGGAAGATGCAGCATATAGTAGCAGGTCCCAGCATATTCTGTTCCTGAATGCCTGCCCTATCTCTGCTGTTAGGTTTGTCACCCCTGATCAGAAATACGTAGCGGACAATACTCCTCACACGCCCACGCCATTCAAGAATGCCCTGGAAAAGTATGGACCAATGAGGCCTCTGGTAGGTATTGAATAGATGCGTGTGCCCATTGCAGCATTGCTTGAGCCTGCTCACTGGGCTTGTAGGCCGCCCAAATGATTATTGCCTGTGTTGCTGCCACCTAAACATTCACCAAAACACCCTTACACACCTGGAAATGTTCCAGCCCAATCTGAGAATTAAAGTGTGCTGAGTTGTTTTGGGCCATCAACCAACCCAGTCATTGTTAATGCGCAAGCCCTTAGTAGCCTGGGTACATTCCTGGGCTGGATTGTGCCAGGGATTTCAGTGGCTTTATGAATGTGCCTTCAGAGATAGCCACAGCCCTTAGATCGTATATAAACCAGCAGTGCTATGCTCCCTTCTCTCAGGTTTGGTATTCATTCAGGCATCCCTGCTGAGCAGAGCCTTGATAACTAGTCCTGACTGACCAGGGATGCTGTGAAGGCAAGTTAGAAAATCAGGCTGTGAGATTAGATTGTAGTAAACCAGTATTGCATAAAGGAGGCCTCCCTACCCCCAGTCAGCTGCACCCCATGCTTTCATCATCAGCATTGGCACAGATTAGCCTGCTCTGTACCACTCCTCTGACAGTGTCCTGTCCTATGACCCTGCTCCTGATATTCCCCCAGCCGCAGACCCCTCACCTAGAAGAGGATTTGAAAGAAGTGCTCCGGAGTGAAGCTGGCATTGAGCTCATCATAGAAGATGATGTGAAGCCTGAGAAACAGAAGCGGAAACAAGGGGTGAGCCTCTTCTCATACAGCTGCTGTCACGCTGCCCTGTTACACGCTGGTTAGGTTCCATAATTGGGCAGGGGCAGATTGTTGGCTGTTTAGTGCCTGCCATTATAACTGCTAAAGTGGTCCTCCCACCAGGCACTCTGAGCATGTGAATGTTGCTTTTTAAGTCAGTGGGACTACTTGGATGCTTATGGTAATGCTTCTGGATCATGGCCTAATGTGCACTGAACATATGCCCCAGAGCTAAGCATACCACTACCATTGCTACCAAGGCTCCATGCACCTGTAGTGAGTAAAGATCCCATAGCATTTCTCTTAAGGACTTGAGTTTTTAGTTCAGGTCTCCTGGGCAAGTTCTACCTAGGTCCCTTGTGTTCTACTCACTTTCCCTTCCTGTCCTTGCAGGGGGTGTTACTTTTTCAAAACTGTTTTGTTATTCAGGATTTTAGCATTGAGATTAAGAATCTGTGTTATGTTCTGTGGCAAAAAGAGTAAATAGATATCACTCCTGTTGGGGTGGTTGTGATGAAGATCAGCATGCTTTTATGTTGTCTGTGTGCACAAGACAAATGGTGACACTGTATCCTTTGCTGTAGAGAATCCCTGGTGTGGGCTCCTTGTGCTATGACACTCAGCATCTATTTTCTGCACCTGGAGCAATTTGGCTCGATCTTATAATGACCCTTTCACGGGTGATACTTCATAGAGATACTGCATGTAGGGGTGTGGGTTGACTTATGGGCTTCATATTAGAGCCTTTTTGCCTTTTATATTGCTGGTCCAATATAGCCAAAACGTTGTTGTCCTAAGATGGCTGCTTGACCTGCATGAACTATCCTGGTGAGTTTCGGGAGAAAGGGGTCCCCATCACAAATCACACCTGCCACTTTGGCAGGGTACTAAGGAGTAACCCATTTATGGGGCTCGCTGTTCAGATCTCGTGATATTAAGGGCATTTATCACTGTTCTGTGTACTCGATCTCTAGGGGCTTTGGGTTTCTAACATCTTACACTAGTATAAATTTCAGGAGGAAGTGTTGAACATAACCTGCATGGTCCCCAGTCTGCATGGTCCCCAGCCTTTTGCACCAAAGGGCTGTGTACAGCAGGGATCTTTTTTCTTCTTTTTTAAAGGCTGATAAACTACCTTCTGAACCCCCCCTTTCATGCTGCTTTTTCCATTGCTACTGGCTATTCCATCCCTTGTGCCAGTACCAATATTTATGATTGCCTGCTTTGTTACTTCTTATATGCTTCCCAGCTTCACAGAAGTCCCATCAAGAAAGTTCGGAAGTCCCTTGCCCTCGACATCGTGGATGAGGATATAAAACACACAGTGTCCACTCTACCCAAGCAGATCTGTTTCAAAAGAGCACCGGTGAGGGATGCTAAAGTGGTGGAGATGGGAAGGGAGGGCTGGAAGCCAATGTGGTGAGAACAGTGTTACCAACTTAACTGTTTTCTGGCTAGTTTTAATATGCTTTCAGGCATATTAGCATCAAAAGGTGAGATCCACCTGTATAAATCCCTGAAAATCCATTAACATATCATCTGACCCTTAAGATGGAGTCATAAAAAAGTAGAAGAGAAGTACCCACCTTTTGGGTTTAAATTTCTTAGGGTATGGTGGAATAGAATCACACGTAGACCCCCAGTGTACATCCGGTGGAATCTGATTCTAAGTGTACATTAAGAATCAGTTCACTGTGTGTAAAATTGATGAAGTGTCCAATGACCTTTTTGTGATGATTCTAGAACGTCTTGTCTGGTGAATTTCTACTTTTGGGGTCTGGCAACACTGGCTAAAAAAAATACTTGCTTAATAAGCCTTGTCAGTGTGAACAGAGGAAGTATTGGCTGGCTAGAATGTTGATTCTCCTGCAGGACCAGCTGCAAACATCTCTGAATCCACAGGAGAAAGCAGAAATAGTCAGAGGGCAGCTGAGTGTTGTTTAGACTGTATTAGTGGAGCTAATTAGAGGTGTTCCAGTTAAGCGCACACAGTATTGAGAGGAACCATCTGTCAGAGATTAGAGGGAAGCACAATATATCCCTTCACTTCTTCCCTCCACTCCTGGGCTAGTGCTGTGCTGTGAACCTTGCTGCTGGGTTTCTGCTACATTCTGGGTCACATGCATGGTATTGTATGTGATGGAGCGGTGGCCTTTCTTAAACACCTTTCACACTGTGCTGTCTGAGATCATTGCAGACCCCTCTCTGCAATGCTGCACCCCTGAAACATTAAATGTAATATTCTGTGAAGCCTCCTTAATGAGCAGAGATGTGATTATCCCTGTTAGCCTGAAGTTGGGTAGAAAATAGACCCTACCATTTGCCTCTTAATGAGGGGAAGCTTCCATGGTGGCTTCTCACGTGGGTGGATAAAAAAAATGGAGCCTGCTGGGATATACTCTTGTGGACTCTGTGGCTCTTATTAATTGAATTAATACCTTAAAAATTCTTCCTGATTAAGTCTGATGTAACATTAGTATTGCATTTCAAAACTTGAAAGAAGGACTCAGATGCAGGTTTAGGGCTCATACCCTCTTCCTTAGCACCCATTGTGCCTTATCTTTTGCACCATAGAAGTGTCCTCTGATCTAGTAAGTGCCACATCAGTGGCTACTGAAGGTGAACTGCAAAGCCATGAAAGTCTGGGGTAACAAAAATTACTCCCCAGAGGGGGATTTAAAGGAGCAGGGCAGGAGATTTAAATTTGAGATTACTTCTCTTAAAGCTGCAGCAAAACAATAACACTTTTTTCCTGTTCCAGTCTGCTGCACTGCTGGACTTGCTAAAAATGCACAGATTGCATATTAACAATACTTAGGCTATCTCATCTTATTGCTGGTATCTCACCAATACCAGAGTAATCTCCAACCTAAATTTCCTCTGCTGCAGTTTGAGGCCACTGCTCCTAGTCCCATCTTCTACAGCCACAGAGAAAAGATAGGGTGACATCTAGCAGACTCAAGAGAACCCCTGGCCTATCAGAAAGCAGGAAGGGGAAGTAATTGCCTTTGAAAAGCAAGTTATCTCTGATTTCTGTGATGGCCCTTTCCCTTTTCCCTAGTAATGGGAAGGAATGGGGTGGAAAATTCTGTATGCAGACTAGACTTGAACTCATCCCTGAGGGCATTTATACACATACTTTTCTGTCCCATGACGTGCTGGAGGTCTGCCACTTTGGAGCAGACTTGGTTAATCTATGTGCGAGCTGAGGTGAACTGTGCTGCACTGTGGGCAGTTGTATAAGTGGCGAAATGTGTGTCAGTGCACAGAAAATGGTGGTGGTGCACTTTTGAACTTAAGCACTTCCAATGTGTTTTCATTCAAAAGAGCACCACTGCCATTTTCTCAGTAGTGATGTTCATTTTGCCACTTCTGCAACTGCAAGCATCACAGCACCAGCTGCTTTTCAAAGCGCCCGGTGCTGTGGCACTTGCATGTGTAAAAATGCCCTGAGTGTCTGTAGAACACAAGCTTCCTCTGGCCCTCTAGAAGCCACGTTCTGTCTCCATGGCACAGACTATGCTGCAGTTGGAACCATGTTAACAGATTTATTTCTTGGTTGGGTCTGAAGGCCCAATCATCACCCCACTTAGATAGGCCCAACAGGAAGTGAAGACAAATGGCCACTTGCCAGCTGCAAACTCCTTGCTGTTTTGGCTCAGTTTCTCCAATCTGTAGCTGCCACTTAGGCTGAACAAGGACTGCTCCTATGTTGTTCTCCCCAGGTGTCATTAGGCTTCTGGTTAGCTGCTGTCCCTCTTGTCCACATTATTGAGCTGTGGCTGCTATAGGTTTGCAGATAGATTCCCCTCATGGAGAAGAGGGTGTTTTCCATTGTTTTGGCTACCCACCTCCCCAAATATCTCCTCTATGGACAGAGCTATGTTCCGGCAGGCATTTTGCTGACAGAGCTGCCTCAGTTAAGGGTATGGTGTTTTCTTCCATATCTATATCCAGTGTTGCTGTTTCAGCAGAAAGTTGTAGCATAGACTGAGTCCATGTTTAAGCACTATTGGTGCTAATTTGGTTCTAACCCAGTTGCCCTGTGTAATTTTTCCTAAGAGCTGTGTGCTTTTGGTAGTGAGGCTCTTAAGTAAATTCTTCCTATGCACATTGGTTGCTAAAACCTTGCTGGCAGCAACTGTTTTTAAGTAGTTGTTTCTGGTGTGGAGGAAAAGACTGGACTGGAGAATTTTGGGAACACAAGTGTCTGAATGCAGGTGGGCAATATTCCTGGGTGTAATGGGGCAGACTGACTTGTTTCCCTGTGTTGATTTTTTTGCTGCAGTCAGTGAATTTCTTCTCAAGGTCCCTGAACTTCTCTTCCTCCAGCAATAAGGATGACAACAGTTTGCTTAATAGGGGGTTCATGCAGGTGCAAGTGAAGACCGAGAAGACATCCTGTACCAGGAAAATCCCAAGCCAGTTCAAACCTCCAGCTCCGGTAAGTGCTGGCAAACAGCTGCCCTGCTCCTTCCCCTCCCCCTGAAATATTAGTAAACAACAGAAACCCTTTTCACTGCCCTGGGACTTGTGAAATGAAAGTGGAAGCACACCTCAGTAGATGAGGCACTGGGGGGTGACAGAGACCCTCCAAAGCAGATTTATTTCTCTTTTTACATTAATCCTATCAGACACCTTGCCCAGACCCAGCATGGAGCACTTTGATGATTTGAGCCTAGGTCTCGCAATCTGGACTAGGATGATTCTGCCACTGTCTGATTTTGGGGGAAGTCACTGAACCTCTCCTGTAGCTGGTTCTTCATTGGTACCATGGGGTTAATATTACACTGGGTTAGTGCTTTGAAAGCCTCTGAAAGGCCCATGTATATGCACTTTATTAACTTCTCAGTCCAGCTTCTTGTCTCTGTCTCTTTGTAGCTGCACATAGTTACATGAGTCAGAGAGAAGGGATAGCTTTCTTCTCAGATGCTTGTAATGGGGATTAAACCTATTTGTTTGTGAAAGCTCCTACTTGTGCTGAATAAATACTCTTCCATCAAAACAATTCCCACAGACCTCAGAATAAATTGGACTTGCATTTAACTTCCCTGGTTTATAAACCATGTCTCCCATTTTGGGTTGGGAGTGAATTACTCTGGGCATTAATAGCTATGTATAAGTAACGTATACTGGCAAAAGCTTGGAGGGTTTGGGACTCTTGGGGGGCATGGAGGGAAGGGTGGACCCATGTGATCCCCAATTAGGTAAATTCCCTGGGCATTTTGTCCATTCTGCTGATGCCCAAAGGGAGGACTGACAAGAAAGGTATTGCAAGATGCTTGGGATTTACCTTGGCTTTCTCTGCAGTGGCCCTAATTTAAACATACTGCCTGCTGAGCCATGGTTGAGCTGGCAGCTATAACTACATTGATGGTGGTGCTGCTGTTAGCAGATGCAATGCTCTGGAGATCTGATTCTCTGTGGGAGCCCCTTTCTGTTACTTTCTCCAGCACAAAGGGGCTGCAGGCTCCTGGCTACAGTTGTCCAGGAGTCCCACAGGGGGAGAGGGGTCCCTGCCACATGGTGCACAGGCTGCCAATCAGCTGCTTTCCACCCCCGGCAGCAGTCAGTGTAGGGGGCCTGTCTGAACACTGCACTCTGGCTACTCCAGATGGCCACGGTGGCTCCTTTCCCCACCTCCTGCTTGGGTCCTGTACTGGGTAGGGGAAAATCAGGCCCTAGGGTATTGGTAAGATGCACATTGCCTGATTTCTTCCATGAATGCCCATACTTTGATCTTTGCAAAAGGTCCTGTGGTCAGTG